CTCCGGAGTCGGAGTTAACGCTGCATGGCTCAGCGTCAATTTGATTTGACGTTGAGCACCTGAATTTGATTGACGATACTGCGCTAAAAATTAGATTTTGTCGAAAAAAAGGCCATTTTGCCGTTTTGGACGAACGTTTTCAGCGAATAAAGCAGAAGACGGTGAAATCCCCAGAGCCTGCTTCATAATTCTGCACGGCGCACGCTATTTTTAATGACATTTAAATGACATGTCGCGCCTGTGGAGACCGATGGCATACGTCTTGCGCAAAGCTGACTTTGACCCAAGCACGTGCTCTCAGGATATGGCACTGCAGAACCTGCCTTGGAGCAGCGACTCTCACACATGCTGATCCATTGCAGCAGAGCAACGCGTCGCCGGCGGGTACAGAGCCAGCTGACCTTGCTGAGTACCTGGCCGAGCTAAGGCGCGCTACTGTCGTCATCAAACAAATACCGAAAGCTGCTCGGATCGCTGCCGCCGATTGTCTAGCCAAGCTAATTGACGAGGCAATTTCCGAACGGAATTTCAGCACATGGCGCCGCCTATTGTCTTTCGCTTTTGGGGCTCTCCGTGCACCCGCAAAAGCAACAGGCGAGCGGCGTCAGTCGGCGGCGACCACAATTAAACTCCAGATCTCCCGCTTCGAGACGGGGGTGGATCTCTCGCCCATCAACGATCGACGGTCAAACCATCAGCACTCTTCAGATGACCGTCTTGCTCACCGGGTACTCTCCAAGTGCGCAGACGGCGACATAAAAGCAGCATTAAGGGCCCTGACGTCTACAGACGATTTTGTTAAGCCAAGCTACGATGTACTTCAATCTCTCAAAGAAAAACACCCATCAGCGCCTCTCGACGAAGCACTCCCTCCGGCACCGCAGGACGACCGATTCCCTCCATTACAAGTCACCACGGAACAGGTCCGTTCTGCCATCAACACGATGCCGACTGGTTCAGCTGGAGGTCTGGACGGCGTAAGACCGCTTCACCTACGGCAGCTCATCTCCACCCACGCTGCGGAGCCGGGACGCCGCCTTCTGACATCTTTAACCGCACTAACTAATCTAGCGCTGGCGGGACGCATACCGGAGTGTGCTCACGGCGCCTTTTATGGAGCTGCCCTCTTTGCCCTCCGCAAGAAGGACGGTGGTCTACGCCCCATTGCCGTAGGTAGCGTTTTTCGCCGCCTGGCCTGCCGCATTGCTGCACACCACATGTCAAGTGTCCTTGGTCCGGAGCTCAGACCGATCCAGCTAGGGGTGGGGACCCGCTTAGGCTGTGAAGCAGCCGTCCACGCGGTTCGCGAGTGCATTTATCGCGCACAAGATGCCTCCGCACCCTCTGTACTGGTTAAAGTGGATGTGCGAAATGCCTTTAACACTATCAGAAGAGATGTTATGCTCAAAAGTGTAGCCGATCGTAGCCCAGAAACGTACCGTATTCTGTATCAATCATACAGTACACCCACCCCCCTTTACATAGAAGGTGACGTGATCATGTCCCACGCTGGTGTACAGCAAGGCGACCCGCTCGGCCCAATAGGTTTTGCCTTGGCCGTCGACTCCTGCGCAAGACGCCTGCAATCACCATTGAATATCTGGTATCTTGATGACGCAACTCTTGCCGGGTCAGCCAGTGTCGTCGCGTCCGACCTCCGTTTGCTTCGCCAAGAATTGCCTTGTCTTGGCCTCGAATTAAACAGCTCCAAATGCGAGCTCACCTTTCTGGGTGATCGGCTAGCTGACAAACGGGCCCCCGCTATTGACGATTTAAAAAGTTATCTCCCTGGGATAGTAGAAACTCCCTTGCACAGCCTAACCTTACTGGGCTCTCCTCTTCACGAATCCAGCATCGTCACTGCCACGGACGCTGCCCATGATATGATAAAGACACTTTGTAGCCGCATCCGCTCCCTTGACACCCACACAGCCTTATTCTTTTTAGCCCACTACATTGCAGCGCCCCGGCTACAATATCTCCTGCGATCTAGTCCCATGTACTTAAACAGCACAGGATTGCAGGCCATTGACGCCCTTATGCGGTCGGCCCTCACAGACACCTGCAATGTTAGTCTAGAAGACGAAGCCTGGAAACAGGCTTCCCTCCCGGTTCGGTACGGGGGTCTAGGCGTTAGGTCAGTTGAACGGCTAGCTATTCCCTGCCACTTGGCATCTCTGACTGAAGCGTCCTCTCTGGTATCCTCGATTCTCAGCAATCAAGGGGACAGGTACGACGCCATACTGGCCAGAAAACCCGCTCTTGAACGACTCCTTCCTTTAATCGGAGAGGCAACCCTCCCCGACCCCTCTACACCAGGGCAGCAGAGGGCTTGGGACGACCTGGCATCGGAGGCTAGCTGCAAACAGTTACTCCGCGAAACAAATCAAGTCCACAGAGCTCGTTTACTTGCCGCCTGCCAGCCTCACACAGCCGCATGGCTACAAGCAGTACCGGTCCCCAGCCTTGGCCTCTTCTTGGACCCGGAATCTGTTAGGATAGCGGTAGCTCTCCGTCTTGGCGCCCCTATATGTGAGCCACATGTCTGTCGCCTATGTAGCTGCCCGGTCGACAGATTGGGACATCACGCCCTATCCTGCAGCAAAAGTGCTGGTCGGTTTCCCCGCCACGCTGAGCTTAACGATTTGGTGAAGCGCAGCCTCGCTGCATCTGGCATCCCGTCCGTCCTCGAGCCCACGGGACTTGACAGAGGTGACGGCAAGCGTCCTGACGGGCTTACCACATTCCCTTTTAAAGGCGGAAAATGCCTAGCCTGGGATGCGACATGCACCGATACCTTTGCTGACAGCAGCCTGGCAAAATCGGCAATAAAACCGGGATCAGCGGCCCGGGCCGCCGAGGATCGAAAGGTACAGCGGTATGCCTCTTTATCAGCCCAGTATCTCTTCGTTCCATTTGCGGTCGAAACATCAGGCGTTGCCGGCCCCAGTGCCATCCGCCTAGTCCAGGAACTCGGCCGCAGGATCACATCAGTGACCGGGGAGAGGCGCGAAACGGCTTGGTTATGGCAAAAAATCTCTATTGCCATCATTCGCGGAAACGCAGTGGCAATCAGAGGCTCTGCTTATTTTTCCTCCACTGTGAGCCCCGCCCACTCCGCCTTACCACCCCGTGTACCAGCTTTCCTTTACACACAGAAGCAACAGACTAAACATGACACTCGCAACATCTCCCTCACACCCCCTCTGACACTTTCACCAGCTCCACCCAACTCAGCATCAGCACCATCTCCACTTGAAAGTCACGACACACTTACAGCATACCATACACCAACCGGCCACCACGATATAGCGCCATCACCCCCAAAATCCATCAGTCCAATCTCAACTCGCCTGGCAAAGTACAGAAAAATGTACGAGGAAATGAAGGCAAATTTTGAAACACAAGATCTCGCTCTGAGCCGGGATCCTCTGGCCGACCCAGAGCTGGCTCCCTACCTGGTGCGCGGTGTGACCCAGTGCTCTGCTATATCGTGTTTAGCTGAGCTTTAGCGTTAGGTATCTGTGCATTATTTCGTATCCGTTGTAACCTGTATGTTGGTAAATGTTTGTTTCTAATAAACAACAATAAATTCCCGATTTTTTAATGCATAATTGCAACGCATAGCCTTGGAACGCACAAGGGATGGTTTCAGGCAAGATAAAAACATCTCCGTTATGAACTTCAATATCATGATATGGATTTTAATAGAACCGTCCGGAGTCGGGGTCGGAGTTGGAGTCGGAGTCGGAGTCGATTTTTGAAGCCGGAGTCGGAGTCGGAGTCGGAGTCACCCTAAAATCCATCGACTCCGCAGCCCTGAATTTCTACCACACGACACATCACGCTTCTGCCCCACCCGGCGCCCCGCACCGCTTCACGAATCACGAATACGGTCGTCTCGCTGGAGCGATGCCCCAGGCAATCGGCCGTGTCCGAGACTCTTCATCCTACTTTGTTGCTTTCTGCGCTTCCTCAGAAACATTCATTGACGCTGCCAAATATATCAATATTTTTGGATCATGCAGAGGCTTACGCATGATCTTATAGGTAATCGCGTAGTGACCAGACCCAACCTGACGATGAGATAGGTGCAACTCCGGCTTAAATAAATGCTCAGAGTCCAAGAGTTCATCTATCTTTCCTTCTACGGCCGGTTCCGTTCCAATAGATCCTACCTTGATTCTGATCTTTTACGTTTAAATACCAAAATAAGGAAAAGAGGACATCAAATGCCCTCGAGCGGATATTTTTTTGGCTTTCGTCCCGAAACAACTTTGCCAGCTTCACTTGTCTCCAGTATGCGGTCCCGCCGCGATCTCTCCGCGGTGCTGACACCGCGACTGAAGCGGCATAGACCCATCGCGGTCACGGCCAGTGGGCGGAGTCAAGTTGAGCACGGCGTAACGTGATTGGCCAGCGCTCCTATCCAATCCGGTGCAGCAGCAAGCGAGCCTCTATCCGGGTGCAAAAACTGATTAACATTACGAGCCAACGACAAGTGCTCTAAATTTTGATATTTGATATTTGATAAATTTTGATATAAATTTTGATATTTGACCATATTGACAAAAATTGGCGCTTGGGCTGAAACATCGTCTGCCAAAATTCCAAGCTAATTGGACAAAAATTGGAGAAATTATCGCCGAAAAACAGGGTCTCATGGGGTCTGAAATGCATAGTAGGTAAGTATAGAGGTCAATGAATTTGGTAGATATTCGTTTTCGCTCTTTCTGAACCGAGCGACATCACTTTCATGCCAATTCATAAACTTTTTTGAAGGTGGGAGGGTCCCTTTAATCACCACGGATTTGGAATATGGATCGCTCTCAAATGTAAATGCAAATGCAAATACAACAGGCACCAAGCGCAACCAAGCGCATCAATCAAAGAATAGTTCTGTTCCTATGACGTCATTTGCCTTGCTCTGCGATTTTAGTTAGACTTTTGTGTATCATTTGAGAGGTCGTCCTTGAAATGCGCTCTGGCGCCAGTCCGCCAGTCGGCGGTTATCTTTCGTCAGGGTTGGTGCGCTCGCGCCCTCGGTGTGTAGGTATGGTTTTTTGTTCATTTCAAGATTTGTATTTTCTTTAAATACATTTGTGACCATAATATTGTTGACGGAATTTTCAAACTCACATTTTCCATATGTTTTGAATGTTCCAGATGCTGTGACCAGCCTGCATTATCAATTTTGGTGAGATGAAGCTTCATAAGTCAGGCGAATGCGGAATCATTTTATAAAATGTTTATGATATATTATCTTCTTCGTTTTCAAAATAATTATTATATCATATTGATCTGTTAACATCAATGAATACAACAAGGCACAAATCATAAATGTTGGGGAGTCCAAGTCACCACAGCTGTTGCGTGTTATAACCCTCGAAGCTGCAGTAACAATTATTGGCCAATTTCAATTCTTATAGGTACTTTTCATAAAAATTCAATGGATTAGGACAATTTGAAAATTGTCCTTTTGTATCATAGGTATTATTTTCCTTTCTTTTTGTGTCCTTTTTTATCCAAGTACTGATGTGTCGGTGTGGAATTACTATCGAAGCTTAGAAGGATGTGTTCTTTCCTTTCACGTTTTATTTTGTGAGTTTCTCCATTTTTAGAGAGTGCAAAAGCAGTTATAGCCATCCTTTTTACAGATGGTGAAATAATGCAGGTACTTGTTGCAGTCTTCGCTCACTTTATTGCATTTAGCATTGCTGCTTAGTGCTTCCACTCCTGCATTTTTGCTTGCTGTTGCCTCATTTTTTCTTTTGTATTTCAGTTGTCATATATTCTTCTGTGTATCGCCTATTTCATCATTCTTAGTTTGGTTCCTTGAATCCTTCCAGCAGCCAGCATTTAACCTTAAACTCACTTCTCATAATTGTGCTCTTTTAGATCCTCACCAGAGTAGATGCTCACATAGTGGAAGGTATTAGTGTCATTTTGTGCAAGTGAAATAGACTGAACCAATGAAAAAATTAATACCTACTTCTTATGATTTCATGCAGACCATTGAATATTCATCTCAAGCACATCCCCATTTCAGCATTCCATGTGTTTGTCATTGATGCATGCGTGTGACTCTAGTTGGATCTCTTTAAGTGGTTTGGCTTCAAGTGCATTACCTATTTACCTACTGATCATGCATTTTAGCCAGCAAAAAGGGCATCTGGTGATCTTTTAATGCATCAGTATTTTCAAATTCCTTGACTGTACAATGTACATTCTTTCAATGTTAGCTCGGACATTCACCAGGATGCACGATTGTTGCAGCAATGAGTGATCGCGGCGACGGAGATGGCCAGGCCACTGGCTCCACAGAGGCTGCTAAGCCTTGTCACGGCAACTGCTTCAAGCCGAAGAAGTCGGTAGAAAGCAAGTGCACCCGAGAGATGCACTTCAAAATGCCCAAATATCTCACCGACGCATTTAAGACCATGTTCAAAATGCGCGGTGACGGTCTACTGACGGATGTCATTCTGGAACTCGAGAGTGAGGAGGTTCGGGCGCACAAACTCGTGCTGGCGGCGGCCAGTCCCTATTTCAAGGTGAATATACCCACACATGTGTAAAGTACATTTAACAATGGTTTGTGATAGTTGGATTTCAACATGATTTCCCAGTTTTCATAGATGTATGAATGCGCTGTCGAGCGTAAATGTTTCCAGGCTGTACCATTTCCCGTCCTATCTGTGTAGCTATACGCAGAGCCATTTCTACACTCGGGTCCGTATTACGGCTTTGACTACGACCTCATTCGTTTTCAGGCGATGTTCACGAGTGGTCTGCGCGAGAGCTCGATGAGCTCGATCAAGCTGCAGGGCGTGTGCTCGTACACGTTCAGCCGGCTGCTGCTGTTTGCCTACACGGGCGAGATCACGGTGAACGAGCAGACGGTGTGCGCGCTGCTGCCGGCCGCCACCATGTTCCAGGTGGGCGAACAGATCGGTACAATGAATGGCAAGACCTGTTCTAGTCCAGTGTCCCAAAATTGTATTTTGGCTGGGGTGTCAGAGGGAAAATTCCTCTTTAAAATGGAGAATGAGAGTGGAAAATCACCAGTCTGATAAGGTCCGAAAAGAGAGGAAGTTTCAGGATCAATAGCATTAATTTCTATACAAGTTTGGTAAAGTGTAGGATGTAAAACGACCAGCCATGCAAATGCTTTCCTTGGTAAAATTTAGAGTGTAAAAATGCCATTAAAAACTAGAGATGAGAGTGCAAAATGATTTGTATGTGAATGTCATTTCCCACTCAAATCAACAAATTTTGGGACACTACGGGCACACTGGGTAAAAGGCCGATTCGCTGGATGACATCAAACAATAGCTACATCATATTACCCACTCGGCACATTTTTTCATATCGTGTGAAATTATGCTTGTTACTGAACGATGGAAGGCGTTATCATATGAATCAGCTGCCTCTATAGCCTATATGGCATCCCGTGGTTGAGAACAGCCGTCTGACTGGCCGGGACGTCGACGTTTGGCGGTCATGGCTGCGCTGTAACTTGTGTAGCGCCGGTGACGTCATGTGTTTCGCTGGCCCAGCAAAACCTGTTGCCGCGGTCAGTCGATCCCGCCAGGCGCCCGCTGTGGAGCCGGCCGCGATAAGCCGCCGCCCCGACTCCGATGGTTATCCCTTAGTCATTGTTACATGGATGTTGTGTTTTGCTGCGCACTTTGACTTGCTATGGTGGCGTGGGCGGACTTTGCCAGTAGTGATGCAAAGCTAAGGGCCAGCATATCTCTTAGAGAAACTTGATGAAGTGTCTGGAGAGCGCATCCTCATCTTTTCAGTACCTATGACTGCCTGTTGGTTTACGGCAACTGATTGTGTATTTCCTCTTCGCATTATTGCAAGTACCTCACTCATATTTGCTCATGTTTGGACGTTTTACGGTTTATATGCGTTTTCGCTCGTTTTTTTCCCTATCGAGGGTGTTCGTGTTATTCCACTAACTGTATGTCCCACTGTTGTGTCTCCAGATGCAGCACGTGATTGAAGTGTGCTGCAACTTCCTCAAGAACCAGCTGGAGCCGAGCAACGCCATCGGTATCGCGACATTCGCCGAGCAGCACGGCTGTATGGAGCTGCTACACACGGCCACGCAGTTTATCGAGCAGCATTTTACACAGGTAGGGAACGGCGCTAACAGAACGGCGGCGGGCTAACAGCAGGCCTCTCCGACGCACAGTCACTAATCACTGGCGGCTGTATGACGTGTCTGGCTCCGGCGCCGGCCTGACCGTCCCGCCTCGATTTCAGATCGCCCAGGAGGAGGAGTTTCTGATGCTGAACCCGTCTCAGCTCATCAAGCTGATCCACCGCGACGAGCTGAATGTGTTTGACGAGCGGGACGTATACAAGGCCGTGCTGCAGTGGGTCATGTATGACGAGAAGGCCCGGCGGCCCAAACTCGAGTGCATCATGAAGTCGGTGCGGTGCGAGCTGCTGCCGGCGCGCTACCTCAAGGACGAGCTGGAGAACCAGCCTCTGCTGCGCGGACACGACCCGTGCCGCGAGTACCTCGTCCGCCTGCTCAAAGGTGGGTCCCCCGCCGCCGGGGTAAAACGGAAACGTATGGGTTTCAAGGGTGGGTGAGACCGAGAGGGATGTTCTCTCGTGTCGTGCGTCCGTCCGGGTGACTACTTGGGAATGCACTGTAGGAAAATTTTCCGCCGGTTTGTGACAACAACACTCGTCCCAGCATGACTTAGCACAATTGTTTTTGTGCTGACGACTTGGATACCAACACTTTCAAAGCCTCCATATCCGCCGTTAGCGCGGCGTAAACATGCAATGGAGGTTCGTTGTTTAGTAGGTTTTTTCCGTACAATGACGTAATTAGACGGCTTATGCATCCAGCCTTGGTTCCTTTTAATCGAGCAGCACAGTGCAACCATCGTCATATTGGCCGGAACTTGGATGAAAAGGAAGTATTGAACAGCATACTTCCTTTTCGAGAATGCGATTTTTGGAAATCAGTCGTTCAGCAAGTCATAATGCAGAGCAGGATAATAAGACGTTGATTGATGGGTATCACGTAGGCGGTTAGAGCCAACGAAAACGTCATCGTTTTTCATGCATACACAGTTTAATGCTAAAAGCCTGTGTGCTTCCCGCGTCATCCCAGTAATGCGCCACCCGTCCTCTATGCCATCACCCAGACTGCGCCGCTGGTCATTGTTGAATGGCCGCTGTTCCTGGGCCGGGGTAGCCGCTGTATCCTGTGCCGGGGGCCGGGGCGGGCGCCGTGCACCTCCGCTCGGCAGGACGCCGCCCGACTGCGCGCCGCCTGTTGATCGGCCTTGTGACTGCCATGGCCGTCAGACGCCGGCGGCGGCCGGCCGTATCACCGACCCGCCACGCCCCTCAGCAGGGGGGGGGGGGGGCGTGCTGAGAGCAGCGTGGACTCAGCGCTTGGACCGCTTCTCTGGGGAAAAATCAACAGTGACTGTATTTGCTAAAGATATTGAAGGCTGATTTCTGAAGGTTTCAGAGATGTCGAAACGGTTGCCGATTTTTCTGTCAGATTTCGAGTGCCACTCAAACACGCTGTTCGAGTGCCTGATATTGGCAGTAGGTGTTATATTGATTGCTGGGCTGCTGCCTAAGATTTTTGCTGACGTGTGGGTGGACAGCAAGAAATGGGGCCGCCGGCCAATGCAAAGTCATGTCCTCGTCATTGCCGGCTCGGCTGTATGGACGAGCCACAGTACACGTCCGGGGCTCGATATCGCTACACAGTTTGCTTTGAATCTACCGTGGGTGATACCAAAGGCTAGCGAGAGCTGTATTTTGGGAGGCGCAGTCCGGTAATTGAGCGCTATAGATGGCAGCGCGGCCCGGAAACCGTTACAGCGCGCGCCACGTTCCAAGGCCGTCCTCACCGTGACGGCTGTCCGTCAAACCAACAATGCCGGCGTCAGGGCTGTGGCGGCCGGCCGCGTGGCCAGTATTTGCCTTTAAATTGGACTCATTGTCCCACGTTTTGAGAGCAGCGAACCGTTGTTTCTCGACGATTACATTTCCGGAGCTATTCGCAGTCTCCCTTGTCTTAGGCTGGACGAAAATGTGAACAGGAAGGCGTGGACATTGGCCAGGATATGCTGTGACTGGTGGGATCGAGTATCGACAGACGGAGAGCGAAGACAACGGCGACGGCTAGTTTGCTCAGTGAGCAAACTAGCCAAATTTTGTCCCAAAATTTGCCAGTTTGGGTGGGAAGTGACATCCAAATAAAAATAATTTTCCACTCTCACCTCCAATTTTCCAGAGCGGTTTTTTACTCCCTAGTTTACTAATTAAGAGCATTTGCGTGCACTTTGTACCTCCCTCCATATTTGATTCAATGATCTTTGAAGGCAGCTCCCACATCCTCCAACACTCGCAAATTAGGTAATTGTTGATATCTGTTTTCTGCTCTTTTTTGTACTCTTCTAACTGGCAATTTTCCACTCTCAGCCCTCTTTAAAGTGACGAATATTCCCCTCTGACACCCAAGCCAAATATAATTTTGGGACACTAATGCTCACGGCGACTAGGCAATATGCTCGTGATGCCTGTGCGTTAATCTGGGGACAAAATCTGGGTCTGCAGGTAAAGCTGGGTCTTCTGTTATCTATTCTGGGGATTGGGGAGTTTTATCTCCCCTACAACTCAAGGTTTTCTGAGTTCCCCAGTAACCAGTTCCTGGCTCTCGTATCTCTGGCTTCCAGGAGGCTGTCGTTGAGGGTGCGTTTTGAACTGCCCTGGGCGGTGGACAGCACCCGTCTTATTGTGAAAGGTCTCCATACGATACGGAATGTGGCCATGCCGGATAGACCGCTGGTCAGACCGGCCCGGCGGGGGCTGACAGCCGTGCGACCTGCGCTGGGATCTGTGACCGACCCCGAACGGGGGGGGGGGGGGGACACCGCCACTGACGGTTTAGTGAGGATGAGGACACCTGACTGGTTATTAGGGGTGATAGCGCTGTGCCTTAGTATTCACACATGAGTAGTTTGGCTGGATAACTTGCGGATCCGTGTTCTCAGCTGCGTGTGAGGTGAGCCGGCTGTGATGAAGCGTTACGCGACTGCCACGTTGGTACCGTGTGACACTCCTCCCTCCTCGTCCAACCACCGACCTCGTTCAAAGGCCGCTGGGTAGGTACACGCGCACCCGGCGACTGGCCCGGCGGGGTCCGGCGGCAGGACACCTTTCCCCGGGCCGGCCGCCCCGTCCCCCGCCTGTTCTGTGTCCGTATGTGACAGGCGGGGACAGGTAACTCGTCTGGGAGGTGAACAGGCCGGACCGGGGAGGTAGGCGCGTGCGGAGCGCCTGCCGGTGGGGAGCAAAGTGCACCGTCATGCCGGTGGACTGTGGTGGCGAGGGTGGATGGGTGGGCCGCGTTTAGAAGGGTTTCTACTCAATGGTTCATTCAAATTTATCTCGTGTCACTATGGCTGTGGATTGAAGTGGCATGTCAGCATGTTTTACCTGAGGTAGGCTTGAATAAGAAAAGGTGTTGCAATATTTATAGCAGTCCCTAACTGTGTCGAATGGGGGGGGGGGGGGGAAGCGAGAAACGCGATGAAGTGTTTTCCAAAATGGCAGCATTTGAAGTGATTGTTGGTATTCTAAAGACTGTCGACATTGACCGGCGCGGGCTGCGATATACCGCGATAGGCTAACTATCCTCCGGTCGACACGTGTCCGCTGCGATGACACGGCCAACTACCTCACTCTGCTCTCATCCGTACGAGGCAAGTGGCTCATTAGCGTCCGACACATATCGCGGTCCGGCGGCGTGACTTGCTGTTCTGCTCTGAGCGCTGAGCGGCCGACTGCTGACCGCCGGCCTTCGCTGCCCGCGTCCCAGTGCCGGCGCGGCCCTGATGCAACTGGCCTCCGCCGTTCGGCCTGTGTGTGCTATGGGCGCGGCAGTGTGATCCGCTCAACGCCGCTGTGGTCAGCTGACGAAATAAAACACGGACGGCCCGCGTCTCCGGGGCCACGGAGCGGCTGGGAGGGAGGCGAGGGCACAGAGCGAGCGAGCTGGGCTGGCCGGTGGTCTGTTGTTCTGCCGGCGCTCGACCGAGTTCGGTGGGTGCGGTCTAGTATTCGCATGCTGTATACTACGTTCGCGGGCGCCTTGGCGTTGAGAATATTATCTACCTGAGTCATTCAAGGCCAGGCGTCATTGCCGTACTTCAGAACTCTTTCGCTGCGTAGAAATGGTAACTTGAGTGATTATGTAAGTCCCTCCAGCCTGTGGATGTGGCGGTATGTTTGTTGCGTGTCCGGTGGAGTGGAGGTGCCGGTCCGGTGCCGTCCACCCGGCCCGGCCCCGCCCGGCAGCACGGGGCGCCAGCCAGCCCCCGGCCCGGACCGGCACCGTTGCATCATCTGACGACGCCAGGACATGTGCACCATGCAAATCCAGATCGGCTTAGCATGCATCAGATTCGGTGAGAATGGCGTACTTTGCGAGCTTGCGGACCGGCGACTTCCTGCACTGTTTGGGTCATTCCGGACCATTTATAATTCCGTGGCCCCTAAGCCCAATCATCATTTTGAATGCGTTCCAAGGGATGTGGCTATGTTGCTGGGGCTTTATGAGATGCTGGCCGTCCTACTAAAGCATCCCTCTGTAGGTCAGGCGGTGATATGTGGTCGCGGAAAAAAACACATGCAAAATACATACTGGTCAGCTCCCGTGCTGAAATACCGAAACCTTTAGAATGGTCTTTCAACTCTCTTTTGGTGTGCTTTCAAATTTCTGCCGAATCTGTGATACTTTTCGTCCCCCTCGCTTGTCAATCATTCCGTGTATTTTTACTGTTGCCGGGGAGCGGAGGGTCGGTGGCGCTGGCTCGCTACAGGGCCCATCCAGACTGTGGCGTTCGAGCCGCGCTCTGCTCCCGCTCGCCGTAAACACTTCATTCGGCGAACTCATGCAGCGCTGGGACACGCACGCTTCGTATGAGACCCAGTCGTATAAATGTGCAAAGTCCTGTACAGGTCGCGAACGAACGGCAAAATTATCTCATTGAAGACGGTCGTACTGTGAGGAATGGAAATTGGTGCCCAGACTTTGCCGTGTGACTGACAGCGTTCGCTGTCTAGTTGAGGGGTCGATGGGGAAAGGTACCCCATCTTCTACACATGAACTGTTGATGGTCTGTAGGGCTCACATCATTAGCACGTATGGCAATTACCGCGCCATTCCCAGGATTTTGCTTTGTTGTCCACACCCCACGTCGCCCAATCAGTCAGCCGCGTCCGGTCTCGCTCTCCGCCGGTCGGTGCGATCGATCAGTGTGGTATCCGCCCGACCGACCGGCCCGAAGGTGCCTAGTCAGCACGGCGGGGTGGAGCTGTCGGTCCGGTCCACCGGCCGACCTCCCCGGTAAACCCGACTCGGAGGTGAGATTGGTGCCCTGGGGACACCTCTGTCGTCCCCGGAGCCAGACATCCGGCCCGCCCCGTCCACCACTCTCCACGCCCGTGACTTGACACGGCCCGAGGGACCGTCGTGACCCCCCGAGTGACGGGCGGCGG